ATTTACTTTGAGAGAGAGAGAGCAAGCTGGGGAGGGGCAGAGAGAGAATCCCAAGCAGCCTCCATACTGCCAGAGCAGAGCCTGGGCTTGAACTCACGAACCGTGAGACCATGACCTGAGTGGAAAACCAGAGTCGGACGCTTAACCGACGGAGCCACCCAAGGCGCCCCGGCATAGAATTCTTTATACAAATCATTTTCTGGTTCTCTGCCACGTGGAGAATCTGAAAGACATACAGATCCTTTGGGCTTGACGTTGCTAAAGTACTCTATATCTTGTTACAGTAAAAATAAATGTTTAAAATAAAGCAAGGAGCAGGAAACTAGGAGTCAATGAGAGAAATAACTTGGCGGAAGACGAGCGGGAGAGGATGAGAGGGATCTATGTAGAATGGGCTGCTTGGTTGAGTCAACCCCAAATTGGTGCTTTGGAGGATTTTTTTTATGGCAAGGGCAGGAGAGTTCCTATATAGACCCCCATTATAAAGCATCAAAAATGCAAATGGGCACTTTTTAAATGAGTATGATTTACCCATGAATATTTTCTAAAGTCAAAGGAAGACATGGATGCAATGACTAGACTTAATATGCACAAGTATTTGTGTGACTCATTCCAGAGACAGAGTTCTTAATTATTCCAGAGAAAAGGTCCATGTAAAGGAATAAGGGACAACCTTTTTTTTTTTTTTTTTTTTTCAACGTTTATTTATTTTTACAACAGAGAGAGACACAGCATGAACGGGGGAGGGGCAGAGAGAGAGGGAGACACAGAATCGGAAACAGGCTCCAGGCTCCGAGCCGTCAGCCCAGAGCCCGACGCGGGGCTCGAACTCACGGACCGCGAGATCGTGACCTGGCTGAAGTAGGACGCTTAACCGACTGCGCCACCCAGGCGCCCCAAGGGACAACCTTTAAGACCAAAAAGGACAGACTCACGGGGGCCTCGAGGTCTCTTGAAATGAAGGAGTCTGATTTTCTTCTCTATCACAGTAAAGCAGGATGATATTTTGTCTTTAGTGTTGGCTGTGTCCTTTTTCTGTTGTGTTTCCTTCTGCTTGTATGGGATGTCCAGATGATTGAGGTACTTTCCCTGGCATGACTCAAGATACGTTTATAAGGGTGACAACACCCTATTGCAAGCCCTGTGTGGAAACCCATCAGCCCCTCCCTCATGCTTTAATGCTGACACAGGGGGGAGTCGCTCCATCGGGCTGTGAGAAAGGGAAGGCCCTTGGGAGGGAGGTCGTCCAGCCTCATAGCACTGGGGAGGGTAAGGGACCAGCTCAAGGTTACACTGTAAAAAGTCGAGCCAGCTCTAAAATGCAAATACAACCTGCTAGTCCTAGTCAGCCGCTCTCTGAACATGGCATGAAGACAAACAAAACATTTTAGAGATGATTTAAATAAATAACAAAGACTAGAAACATCTAGAGTGATTGTGACCCATCAGGAGTGCCCCCATCATAACTGTCTAAAAATGTTCGTCCTTTACAAAGGCAGGGAAGTCAAGGTCATAACACGGTGCACTGTGACTTAATCACACTATGCTTAAGTGTGCTGTACTTCTTAACTGAATTGTATTCCCCTTGGATTCAAAGTATGGTTCTCTCATTTTTACGAAACAATGAATAAAAGAGTGTTTCTTTCTTATCCATTTTAATCAAGAACAGAAAATAAATGGTTCCAGACTTCCAGAGACATTTTTAAAATGTAAATTCTATAAATCTCCAAAAAGGGTTTGCTTTGAGAGGAGCTATGTGATTCATAGTCATTTTGCGATTGTCAAATCATTTAGAAATAGCCTGAGATTGGGTCCATTGACTGTGAATAACAGCAGGCCAGCTTTGTGAAAAACAATCACGTAAGTCCAGTTAAGGATAAATGATGCCTGGCCAAGAGCTCGGTATTACATACACCCAGTTTCTGGGGGATCCTTTCCTTTGACATCGAAGACTATATTTAACCTAAATAGCTATTATAAAATTATGCACTGTGGATTCTTTCTTAAAAGGGGTGCAAGCTTCGCCAGTGTTCCTGGGTTGAAGACTAGTTTAAATAAGCCCTTGGGTTTATGTTGCACACAAGAAGGCTTTACAAGATCTAATCTTTTCTAAACCTGTTATGTTCTTTGGTTCAACAGGGCTTCCTAATTGTAGCTATTAGTTCCTCTTTTTTGTGGTCTGGTCTGTCAATGGACTATTGAGTGATCAGTAAATTAAAGCCCAGCCAGCAGCCAACACATCGAAGCAGACGTTAAATCATAGCTTGGCTGCCCTTATTCATTATTAGTATCTGTGAAACAGCTTTTAAATACACGGATAGGATTTAACATGATGCACATTTGTGTCATTCTCAGATTTCCATACTGTACAATCAGGTATGTGAGGGGTTTTTTTTCTTCTTCTAGGCAACAGGTGTGTTCTTGGAACAATGTTCAACCCCCACTTCTGGCTTATGTGAGAGGCAGCAGCTGCAAGCTTAATGTCAATGACACATGGTTCTATAAGAGAGAAAATAAACCGCCTTCTCAGTGTATTAAAGTCATGGGCAGGTGGACAATAGCTGTCTGTACTTCCTTTGTGTTGTAGAAGCAGAGTCTAAACTTTGAGATGACAAGGTTTTCTCTGCCTCTTTTTCTCTTCTCCTCCTCCCCTCTCTTTTCTTCCTTCTTTCTCTCCTTTCATTTTTCAAAAAACTTGTTAGTGAAAAACATGCCTTTCTTTAAGCATTCTGCACCCATTATTGAGAACTGTCCTCCAGTTGAGTCATACTGTTTTCAGGCTGACGAGTGGAGAGGAGAAAAAACGTGATATAAACCGGGCTACACTTTATTTAGAACTTGCTTTGTTCTGAAAAGAATTGAAAGGAACTGTTTACTATGGAATTTGAAGAGACTTAGTTGGTATGCAAACACGGCGTGTTTTCTTTAAGGGCAAATTCAATGCTCTAGTACAACACTTCTATATTTAATTTTGTGAGATATTGCTAATGACAGTTACAATGTACTCTGCACCTCACAAGTACAATGTCAATGTTAACTGATAGGAACCATAATGATCCAGTAATCTTGTAATAGAGTTTAAGACAGTAAATGTTTGTCAGTTTCTTCAGAATCTCTTAGTGTAGTGGCAGGAATATTCCACTTTGCGTGTTAGTTTTCAGGTGCTGTCGTGCCTCAAACAGAAGCAGTCCAGCCACTGTCTTACTGCATACAAGGTTTCTCGAGAACAAGCACATTAAGCTCAAGAACAGACCCGAATAACCACTGAGCTCCGGGATCCACTGGAAGTGAACACGTCTCATTACACGGACTTTTCTAGAACCCATGTACAGCAGTTTCCCCTCTTCTGCCAAGAGGCGTTTCAATAGGGATTTTAATAAAAATGGAGGTCATGAGACGAATCTTCCTTTTTCTTAGATGTGACGAACACACGCATTGTAAACGGGAGGAGACAGGCACCTATTTAATTACAATCCTGGAGTCTCTGGTATCACCTGAGCCACCAGATCACCTGGAAGACTGGGGTTGGGTGCTGCATATAATGTCTAATTGGGGGACAAGTAAGAGAGAATCCCTTTTTATGGTTGCTTCTTTTTTTTTTAACTGCAAACCTCAGCTTTATTCAAGAATCAGGTTTTCTGTGAATCTACACTAAAAATGGTTTTGCCATTGCTGAGAAATCCATGAGCGGATGGATTTGGAATTTAATCCTCTGTGAGAAACAAAGGCAAATGAAGAAAGAAGAACCTGGAGATAAATTTCTCCTAGGTTTTTTAATTGGTTTGGCTATGACATTAGATTTTCACTAAATGCATGCAAATAATGACTAGTGTCAAGGAGGATGCTAAACATTTTTTTAAATTTTTCTATTTTTGAGAGAGAGAGAGAGAGCAGGAAAGGCAGACGAAAAGAGAGAATCTCAAGCAGACTCCACACTCCGTGCAGAGCCCAACACGGGTCTCGATCCCACGACCCTGGGATCATGACCTGAGCCGAAACCAAGAGTCAGACGCTCAACGAACTGAGCCACCCAGGTGACCCTAAACATTTTTAAATGTATCCGAAGTGTCTAAAACTGGAAGTCTGGCCCAGATATCATTAAAGGTCTTTATCAATCCAAGGATTATCAAATTCTATGATTTTGCTTCCTCCTCAGGCTGCACTTTTCCACTGTGGTAAAATACACATGGTACCCTCTTCACCATCTTTAAGTGTACATCTCAGTACTGTTAAGTATATTCACATCGTCCTGCAACAGATCTCCAGAACTTTCTCAGAGTTTAGCTTTCATTGCAAGACTAAAACGCTATACCCATTAAACAAATTCCCACTTCTCTCTCCCGCCAGCCCCGAGCAGCCGGCATTCTACTTTCTGTATCTGTGAGTCTGGTTGGCTACTCTAGGTACCTCCCTCAGCTCAATGGATTCATAGACACCTCATGTATAATGGAATCATACAGTCCTTGTCATTTTGTAACTGACTTATTTCCCTTAACGAAATATCCTCAAGGTGCAACCATGTTGTAGCGCATGTCAGAATTTCCTTCCTTTTTAAGGCTGAATAATATTCCCTTGGACGCATAGACCACATTGTGTTTGCCCTTTCATCTGTCCACACACACACGGTGGCTTCCACCTTTTGGCTATTGGTGCATCATGCTGCTGGGAACGTGGGTACACAAATAGCTCTTCGGGATCCTGCTTTCGGGATTCGACACTGGCTATGTCACTCTGCATTGCCAGCAGCAGTGAACAAGGACCCCAGTCTCCCCATATCCTCACCCACCCTTGTCATTTCTGGGGTGTTTGTTTGTTTGTTTGTTTGTTTGTTTTTTAAATAGTAGACATCTCCACAGAGACAAAGAGAGAAAAGTACTCACGTGAGTCTCCACATCGCCAGCAAGGATCCTACTCTTCTGTAAAAACTCCGCCACCATGCTGTTCATCAGCTTATCAAAGGCTTCCACGGAGGGTGCCACACCTTTGGAAGAATCACATTTTGTCAGTCTCTGAGAGGTTTTTTTTTTTTTTTAATGTTTTTATTTATTTTTGAGAGAGAGAGAGAGAGAGATGGAGTGCAAGCAGGGGAGAGGCAGACAGAGAGGGAGACAGAATCTGAAGCAGGCTGCAGGCTCTGAGCTGTCAGCACAGAACCCGACGCGGGACTTGAACCCATGAACTGTTGAGGTCATGATCTGTGCTGAAGTAGGAAGCTCAAATGACTGAGCCACCCAGGTGCCCCAGTCCCCAGGAGTCTAATGAAAAGCTGATACTGCTTTGCCAGAGGCCCTATGGAAGCTTAATATCGCCCATGCCATTCTCATTCGGTCAGTATTCCTCAAACATTTTTCAATGGCTCAAGAAAACACAATGCTTTCCTATTTGAGTAAGCACTTTCACCTACATACGAATTTGTTTCTTCCCCAAACTCACGAGGCTAAGTAGCACCATCATAGTTTTACTGGTTGAGGAAATGGAGATGTAATCGGAGCACATGACTTGACCAAAACTATAGTGAAATAAGAGGCAGATCCAAGTGTACTTTCTACTACACTGATCTGCCCAGGTGCTGTGAGACCTTGCACACAGTTACCAAGATTACCCAGGACAATTAAAAGGCAATAACAAACTCTGGTAAGTAGGAAAACAATGCCAATGTCACACATTCTGTTCCATCCTGTCCTCACTTCCTGGGGAAGGGAGGCAGAGTTGGGAAGCATGAAAAAGTCTTCTGAGCTAACTCATGTTAAGTTTTGATCTGACAAATTACCATAAAAACCCAAGCGACAACGGCCCAACCTGGAGTGCTCTGTATCTCTTTCCCTGCGTTTTAACAGAAAAATTGTGTCTTAGTCCCAGATTTCATGTCCCTAGTATTGAAAAACGCAACCTACAGGCAATTAAAATCCAAACCAAAACCTAGGATTCCCTTTCTCAAACTGTACATGAGTAGCCATGCTCATAAAGCTGTAGGATAAAGCTTCCTTCCTTTCCCAGATGCCCATTTCCACAGGCCCAGAAGGTGATGAAAACAGCTGCTTACAGTGCTGTGCACCTACAGTCTAACTTCTAAGCAGGCTATTGAAGCTGAACCTTAAAGTTCAAAATACAGTACATACCAACTTCTGGAATATAAAAGGGGGGCAAGCCCACAGATTCCTTAGGGGTCCATTTGGAAGCAGATAAACCCGTTTGTTGCTGGGGGAGACACCTGAGAGGTGTCTGCGATGTATTTAAAGTTGGAGAGTTTGAGACATGAGACAAAGGACTCTACATAGCAGAAGGAACGGTTATAAAAGGGAATTATTTTAAAATAATAAAAGTGATGAATTATATTTTAAAATATAAAAGTGATGAATTATTTCATCACTTAGCTCTGTTCACACCTCCTCTGGGCAGCCCTTAATGACCTGTCTTTCTTCCCAGCCTGCATCTTGTGAGCATCCCTTAATCAAAGCAGTTGTGGCCCTGAATAGCAAAGCATGGAGACCAAAGATTCTGGAGGATTCTGCATATAATCCATCTTAGATTTCCTCATATATAACAAAGTACTCATTACTTGGTGTGCGTGCAAAAATACTTCTTCAACTGTTGAACCAAACTTACCTGATCGTCAGGGGGAAAAAACCACCATAAAACACAACATAGCACCTGTATCATAAGAAGGCAGTTCGCTGACTTCTGCATATTACAGATGTAGTGGACAGGGTTCCATCTAAAAATTTCTTTTTATTTCTTTTTAAATGTTTTAGTGTTTATTTATTTGAGAGAGAGACAGATAGAGCGAGAGAGAGAGCGAGAAGAGGAGGGGCAGAGAGTCCAAAGCAGGCTCCAGGCTCCAAGCTGTCAGCACAGAGCCTGATGTGGGGCTTGAACTCACAAACTGTGAGATCATGACCTGAGCTGAAGTCGGATCCTTAACCAACTGAGCTGTCCAGACGCTCCTAAAAGTTTCTTTCTAAATCAAAAAAAATTTTTTAACTTCAGTTATAACATCACCATAATAACGATGTTTTATATTTCAGGTGAGAGGGTGTCCTTAAGGATTTGTTAAAAATAGAATTTAGAAAACCATCAAAGCTTACCAAATTAAGAAGAAATGAAAGCGATGCTGTTTAGGGTTGTAAAATGTTTTAAGGATGGTTATCATTCAGATATTTTACTAATTATCCTGCTTACCAATGACCCTACTGCATTCCTAGTAGGATAATAAACCGCTGGGTAAGTTGTTTTAAAAGACCTCATTCTAATAACTGGTTTGGAACAATTTTCTGTATTAGAAAATATCTGTTTAAATACTTAAGTAATTTAATTATACACCTTCCAATTTTGTTTAGTCTATTAAGTTTCCCTGAAAATTACTGTTGTAACAAAGAAAATACAAAGTGCAGTCTAGTACCTCTTTAAGTCAAGTGAGGTTCAAATTATTGAGTTTTTCCCCCCTTTATTCAACAACGCTACACAGTGTTCTGAGAGTTGGATTTTACTTATATTTTATGCATCTACAGGCTTTCTATTTGTGGGCAGCAATCGTACAGAAATGTCTTTTGATCTCCTGATGTCAAAGACATAGGAAACCCAAGTTATTGAAGCGAACATGAAAATATTTCCTTACAAATGAGGTTTACTGAATCTCCTACACCAATTATACAGTTAACAAAGAGAGGCTCAGAATGAAATCATAGATGTGTTTCAGTTGATGTGGAAGAAATTAACAGGCCCCTGGCAGCCTCCCTTTAAAGAACATCCCCTTTCAATTCATTCAAAACATTTTAGTTTTCATTATGTTCAGGGGGGAAAAACCAGTCTGTGCATGTGTGTTCATGCAGTAATTTTTGTCCTAAGGCATCCGATACAAGGCACAGCCCCCAAATACTCCTGAAATTCTAGAAACACCAATGTGGATCTTGCCTAGTGAAAGCTTTTTTTTTTTTTTGAAGACCCCATTCCCCTAGGCTTTTCTCGGTCCCCAAAGCCTGATAGGATTCAAAATGGGTCAGATAAGGAGGAAGTGTACTTGAGACAAGAATAGAGTTGCCAGATGAGATACAGATCCCCGAGTTACATTGGAATTTTAAATAAATAATGAATAAATTTTTAGAGTTAAGTGTGTACCATGCAGTATATCCCAGGCAGTGTGTGGAACATACTTATACCCCGCCCCCAAAAAAGTAGTTCATCTGAAATTCAAATTTAACTGGGTGTCCTGTATTTTTATTTCCTAAATCTACGACCTCAGACAAGAAGGAACTGGAAAAATTACTGTCGATACTTAGAGAGTTTGCCATATATGGTATTCTTCTAGCTAACTTTTATGTTATGTTGTTAACTTTTTATGTTTGATCATATATTTAAAATCTTTTTTTTTAAGTGGCATTAGCATATGACTTTAAAGGCATATTTGGTTAGGAACAGGCACAGGTGACACAATGCGACGTGATCATGTTGCTTGGAACCAACGTTTGGCTTCCCGTCAGACTCACTTCCTTCAAAACTGCAATTCTTAAATTTAATGACTTGTTCTCTTTAAAATTCAAATCTAGAGAATGATAATTCCTTCCAATTGACACTGTAATCGAGAACATTAATTTCTCTTTGATAAAATTACTCAGATAATATATGTATAGCCACTGCGGAATGTGGAACAACAGTATAAACACTAGAGCAAACGAATAACGACATTTGGCACATAGATTATGCTCTTAATAGGCACAGATACTGGTAATTTTTGCAGATTGTGGGTTGAAACTTTATTTCCTTTCCCTTCTTCAGGGATGGCTTGCATCTGGTGAATATCATGATCACATACAAAGGAAGGAGTATGGGGGTGCCTGGGTGGCTCAGTTGGTTAAGAGTCTAATGCTTGATTTGGGCTCAGGTCATGATCTCACAGTTCGTGGGTTTGAGCCCCGCCTCAGGTTGTGCGCTGAAAGTGAGGAAGCTGCTTGGGATTCTATCTCCCCCTCCCCGCTGCATCTCAAAAAAAGTAAACAAAACAAATAAAGGAAGGAAGGAAGGAAGGAGTACGAAAGCTGAAGAAAGGGTGATAAAAATATTTCCTGAGAACTAAGTGATGGGGAGAACATTAAGTAATGACAACAGTTAGTGTCCCTACCTCTACTGACACCATTAAGTCCCTCACAGTCCCCAGGAGGCCGGTGTGACTCTGCAGACAGCGACTCCAGTCGGCCGACCACCCGTTCCAGCCTCTCCATCAGTCCTTGCATCTCTGCCATTCTAGAAAAACACAAGCACAAATGGAGTCCGTGTGAATGTCAGGGAGGATTAGCAAGCTGACACCATTAAATTTAACAGCAGCAACAGGGAAGATAAAAATTACTCGGAATGGCTTTCATTACCTACAGAGTATTTCTATACATCAGGAAAATATGTGAAACTCCAAAAAACGTAAACCTTGGAACAAAAAAAAAAAACCCAAAAAACCCAAATTATATTGATCTTGGTTTCTATTCGATTCAATGACTTTATAAGCTCCAGATGCAATACACAAAAAAATCACTCCCTACACCATTAACAAGTATCTCCTCGGATGCTTCCTTGTGCTATGATACAATCTATGTCTAGCATAAACTAAAAGCCTGTGAACATATATCTCACAATTAATATTGCCAACTTTTATCCTACTAAATGGTAGGAGCATATTTTAACTATTTCCAATGATTTCTTTCTGTGAAAGTATAACTCTCCAGGGGACACTAAACCCACTGGTAATTCTTGTTTACCTACTCAATTACTTTAAGCCAAACAGCTGAGCTCGGAATTGAGTTTATGAAACCATATCATTTAGCAGGTGACTGGGTTTTCATCTCTAAGGGCTGTCTTCTACTTATTACCACCTTCAGTGTGTCTGCCGCTGGATTACTTTAGGTTACAATTATTCCGAATGGTGGAAATTTTTAATTTAAAATATTAACAGTGTATATTTCATTTTGCTGCTGATTATTTTTGGACACAGTTTAGTTTTAGGTGGAGTGGTTTCTGGAGACAGGAAGCTTTGGTTCCCCAGCAGTCTCTGCTGGGATAAATTGGGTTTGACGCTGAATAAGGGATTGAGGATAAGAGTGGGCATGTTGGGTATCTAGCTTTTCTGCGTCCAAACACTTCTTAGAGAGCTATCCTGAGTGTGCACAGGTGAGTACCTTAAAATTGCCGGCCCTACAATGTAAAGTTATGAAGGCAACCGCTGAGGAATGGAACCCAATCTAATTTGGCCAAGTTCATGAGATCCAGCTTAGAGATACCATAGCTCCCGCCATACCAACCTACGACTGCTTTTGGCAAATTCAGGCTGCTGCCCCAGAGAAAGTAAAACACACCCCATCTTAATCAGTGTCTGTAGTTCTCACTCTTGCGAACTTTCTAAGCATCATCTTAAGCCAAAGAAGATAGACGTGCTCCCATAGAGGAGACAGGGCTGCCCCAGAGGGTGAGTAAATACTATTTCTCTAAGACAGGTAATGTTTTCTATTTCTGCAAACAACCAGGTAATGCATTTTTTTGTGTGTGTTTTGTATTTCATAATGATGACATGTCACTGCCATTTTCAAGAGCAAGGTTAGACTTATCAAAACATGTGGGTAGCTCTGTACTTCTACATCCACATGTCAGATGGTCATCAGATACGGATGGGGGGGTTCACTGCCTATTTTGGAAAGTCATCTCCTCTGAAACTGCCAGCAGCTATGCTTTCAAAATATGGGGCAGTGTTCTCTGCACGGCTGAAATCAGCATCTAATCCCAAGGGGATTCAAAATTAGAAGTTTCTCATCTATTCTTTTCCTCTTAACGTCAGAGCTTTCGCTTCTACTGCAATTGAAAAAAAAAAAAAAAGAAGCAATTTAATTGAACTCTTTACGTAATCGTGCAAGGGAACTGGGTATCCTGTAGGAGGGTGAAGGCCATTTGAGAGATGGTAAAAGCCCCTCAAATCTTTTAATAGGCGTCCATCTGTTCACGGTTATCTCTGTTCTCTGTTACTCAACTTGCCAAATGTTACACCATAGACCTAGCCCATGCTAAGGAAAAAAAAAAAACGTGTTTGCTTTGTTAGCAAGTTCCCGATGCCCCAACAGAAAGGCACCCACCACCTCCAGAGGCTCACAGCGCCATTTCAGGAAGGCCTGTTACATTTCACACTTAGGACGGCTGTCCCCGACTGGGGCTTAATCGGCCTCCCTGACAAGACTCAAACTCACACTATCTAATAGCGCTCCATATGTTGAGAGACAACAGGAGTTAGCCCACACACTGCAGGGCCAGGCTGACTGGTGTGGAATGCAGTCTGAAAACAAATCAGATGTCACTTCGCGTAAAATCACCATGGACTGGAGTCTTGTCACAGCCTCTGAAGAGATCAAAATACAACCCAGGCAAGGAAGCTGGAAAGATGCCTCTGGGTTTAAAATTTTAGAACAGTTTCTAAGAGAAATAGAAGAAAAAATAAAAGAATAAAAAAGAGAAAGATATCCAAAATATACATGGTAGCATTCCCAGGGAGAATGATGGGGTCCAAGATGGCTATGCTTTCTTCTCCCAACACACACACACACACACACACACACACACACACACACACACCCCTCCCCACATGTGCCCTCAGCTGCTATCCTGGCTCTCAAGAATGAAGAAAGAACAGAGCAACAGATTCTCCAAATTCTTCCCAGGCAGTTCCATTCGCCTTGGTTTTTCAAAGTGGATTTAGCCAAGTTTTCATGAGGCCAGGAATTAGGAATCAGGCTGAGGAAATGGATAGGACAGGAAATGTAGACAGCAAGGTCAGGGTAAGGAATGAGTCAGAGCCAGGTGGACAGACAGATGGATTTGGACCAGGAAGCCAACAGAAGAGGGGATCTATGGCAAACTGGTCAGACATAAGATGTTCTAAGAATCAGATGAGAAGCAGAGAGAAGCCAGACACACAGCTGGGCAACCAAGAGACTAGGTCAGATGATGAGGCTCAAACCTGGTCTCCAGACTGTCTAGTCCTCCAATTCATGCAGAAGCCAACCCCAAGATGAGGTCCCCTATAACCTCCGGCTTATAGAGGATAAACACAATCATCTGACCGGGTGTGAGGGTGGGTGGAAAGAAAAAGTGGGAGGAATATAGAATTCCATGACCTTCTCTTTTTAATGATCTGTTTTAGGAAATTACACTCGAGGTGAATCTTAATTCCTTGTTTTGTAATAATTTGGTAGTATTCTTTCTTGAGTTCCTTTATAATAGGAAGTATAACTCATCTTGGTTTTTTTTTTCCTCATTTGAATTATCCCCTCACTTTTCCCTTCTTAAAGTTTAACTCTTTAGACATGCACAGAATTTAAATAGCTCTACAATAGTTCTATGAGGCTGCCTCCTTCCATTTTTGCCTTGAGAATCAACCGATTTCCATGATTTTAGCTGTTTCTTTCAGTAATTATCTCCTCATCTGTACATAACATGTTGCCATCTCTGTGTGTCTTGTTTCTCTCCGGTTCCAGGCATTATCCACTGAGTTCCCACCAAAACCAAGAGGTTTTGCCCAATCCCCACCACCAGACACATGAACACTTCCTTTTGCCCAGTACTGTTGTGTCACAATTTCTATGTGACCAAGCATCAGGGTCAACACGTTTATGACTATTCACAGCTGAGTCACAACATATCCTAAAATCATTCTCCATTTTCTTTTTTCACAACCTGTTTCCCTGCAGCTCTGTTGTTCAGTTTTCTCTACATACTTCCCAGTTTTCTCTACATACTTAAAAGTTATTCACCCCGAACTCTTCTCCCAGCTGTACAAGTCTCCTTTCAGTTGAGGCAAACACATCTGGAATGCTATTACATCTTTCTTCTCAGAGGCATCTCTTCTGGAGAATCACTCCAAGTGCATGAGAGCTCAGTAGGCCCACGGTGCCTCTGGGACCAGAGATCTGCCTTCCCCTTTACCCCAGGGCCTTCTCCCCGCGCCCTCTTACCTAGTATCACCTGCTTTTCCGATTCTATACCCTCCTCTTTCTTGGTGTACTTTCTTAACTGTCTTCTTAGTTTCAGAGCATTTTCTTCTGAAAACAAAGTATGTGAAAGGACAATTTTCGTGGAGAAACTGCAAGTCTGAAAATACATTGATTTTGCCTTCACACTTTGGAGGTTTGGCTGAGTGTAGGATTCTGGGATGGAAGCTTTCCTCAAAATTTTCAAGGCATTCCTCCATTGTGTTCTAGCTTCCTAGGTTACTGTTGAGAGGTCCAAAGCCGTTCTGATTCTCTGATTTTTCATCCCTTGATGCAGTCTTCGTTTTCCTCTCTGGAGGAAGTTTGCGGGGTCTTTGTCCTCAAGGATTTGGGATTTCACAATGACATACCTCAGGGTTGATCAAATGTTTTAATGAATGATTTTCAAAAAGGTGTGGCAAAAATAGGAAAATGGGGGGCGCCTGGGTGGCGCAGTCAGTTAAGCATCCGACTTCAGCCAGGTCACGATCTCGCGGTCCGTGAGTTCGAGCCCCGCGTCAGGCTCTGGGCTGATGGCTCAGAGCCTGGGGCCTGTTTCCGATTCTGTGTCTCCCTCTCTCTCTGCCCCTCCCCCGTTCATGCTCTGTCTCTCTCTGTCCCAAAAATAAATAAAACGTTGAAAAAAAAAATTAAAAAAAAAAAGAATATAGCCAGTTAGTATTCTCTCATATACTGTCTTTGGTAGCATTTTCCTAGGTGAAAGGATGGCTGTCATCATTTAAACATTTATTAATTTTATATTATATTTGTGTTATATTATTTCTATTCATATATTACTTTTATATTATACTTATATTAATTTTATAGTATCACTTAAAAGTTAAAAAATAACATTGGTCATTTCATAAAACCCATCCTTAAAGTACAGATAGTTCCTAATACTAATTTTGTGTGCAATGCTCTGCAATAAGACAATGACTAAAACAGTAAGAGAGACGACATTCCTATCCTTTCCCACGGTAGTTTCCAGAAAGGGAGAGTTCCCCACACTTACAAACATTTTTACAAGGTCTCAATCGTTTGCCTCTTTTTAACCAGGGCTGTTTAGAGGGGGCCCTGCTTTTGGAATCACTAACTGAAGTTCTTTGGGAAAGAGCTTAATTTTGTTTTGCTTTATTTAGTTACTACCTGTACATAGGGTTCCTATAAATGTGTATAGAGTGCTCGCTTCGGCAGCACATATACTAAGTGTGTATAGAAAGGCATACAAAGTCTGTGACATG